CATACAGAACTGAGTACAAGCCAGGGGCGGTGAGAGGATTTACCAGAGACAGAATAGGGAACAGAACAGGCAGATTGATGAAGTACACTGCTGAGGGGAGTGGCAAGCAGGTCAGGAGAGGTCTGCCATGCCAGGCAGGTCACTTTCCTGGCTGGGTATCAAACTTGTACTGAAGTGGCTTTAGCTTTGTAGTGCTATGATTTAACCCACTGTGCCACCAGGGAGGGCCCTCAAACCACACACACACACACACACACACACACCACATTTTTTGGTTTTTTTTTTGGCAGCCATAATCTCATATGGGTCTCTCTAGATGTAGTTTTAAGGCTGCTCTGCCTAAGTTTTGCTCCCAGGCTTCAGAGTTTGGACCAGGTACGTTCCAACGTGGCCTTCATGCTTAATCCCAGGCGGAGCAGGCAAGCACCTTTCTCTGCCTCTTTTCAAGGTAACATCTGTGTCTAGATGTAGGCGTGGGAGGGAAAGTCTTCATTTTCCTGCCTAGTTTTGTCCTTGACATGTGAAAGAGTGGTGGGAAAACATGAGGGGATGCTGAATAGGCTGAGTCAATAGGGACAAGTAGCGTCATAATATTATGATAGAAATAGTTTTCTCCTAAAAAATGCTGCTAGGCATGGATGTCTTCATGGGTCTCCAAGTCTCCAGGACACTTGGATTGTTTTTCAGGATGAAATAGGAAATTACTAATTCTTGCAATATATGAGTGTGTTCTGTCTTCCTTCTTAAAAAAACAAAAATCAAACAAAAAACTCCATATTATCCCACTTTCCCTAAGCAACTTAAAACTTAGATTGTTTGCTGTGCTTTGTCAATAAACTCAAAACTGCCTTTAGTCTGTGTCTTCAGTGCCTCCCTCTCTCTTAATCCATTTCTATCACACTGTCACTCTCAGCCCAGTGCTTCAAACTTCTTGTCATTCACAACATGACCTTCATGTCTTTGGAGGGGTCCTCATCTTTCTGCCAACCATCACGTCCACCCAGTTGATGCTCTTTCCTCATTTAGCTTCCAGGACATTTCCAGTTGCCAGTTCCTTTCTCCCTTGCCAGTTATTCTATCCTCACTTCCTTTTCCTCATTGACATGTGAAGGTAGAGCAATGCTTGTTCTGCCACCTGCTCCTTGAACTTGACCTCATCTCATTGTGCGTTGGAAGCTCGGAAGGTCTTACGCCAGCAGTGCTGCATTTCCTCTGAGATGACACTACTCACACCCACTCTGCCAGGCATTACTCTGCCAGGCATTACGATGTCAACCTGTTTCTGATTTTTCACCTTCTTGTTCAACCATGCATAGAATTAACACCATCTATGACATCTCTGTCTTTCATTTGTTTTCTTAAGATTCAATCCTGTGGGGGCCCTTCTAGTTAGCGGTATAAAGTAGCAAGTCCTGGGGTCATCCTCCAGCTGCTATCTGTTCAGATTCATGGTCCGAGCTCCTGTCTCTGCATTCCATCTCCCCCAGAATCTACCTTAGCAGCCCTGGACCAGCCTTCTGGTTTCTGTACCTTGTCTTAGAACATTCCATCCTCCTATACTTCCCAAGAATGCTGCTTCCAGGTTCACACTGTTGCATATCCTCACTGCCACTGACCGTCCCTTAAATGTGCCTTTTAATGTTTCCTGTTGGTCATTCAGCTCAGGCTCCATCTCATGTCTGTGGCCCTGCATGAGCATAGTCTCTAAGGCATGGGTCTCCTCAATGCACAGGGAATAGACTAGTTCAAATAATGAAGGGGACTGGTGTTGAGTGAGTTCTGTCCCCCTCTCTTCCTCTGTTCATTTCCTCTGAATCTGGTTGCTCAGCTTGTCCTGGAAAACCCAGCCCTGCTGGCCCAGGTGGGAGTGTGTTACCCGTGTCTGTGTTGGGAGTATCTGGGTTTGTATTTAAGGCACAATGGAAGGATTGAGACTTTTTTTTTATAAAATCGGCAGGTTAAGGATAGGCTTCTTTTCTGAAGAATCTGTTGGCTCTCTTGTGAGAGAGGATCTGGGGATGGACTCAGAAAATTCCTTGAAGGATTGTGCTGTTGGTAGTTGGCAGGGTGCTTAGAAGCAGGTGATCAGATCTCAGAGTCTCATATACCTCTTAAGGAGTTTCAACTCGACTTGTCCTTTTCCCTGAATTAAACACTGGACAGGACTGTAATGTAATAGTCCACCAGGTTATGCCTTTCCCATCTCATTAGTTTTCATCTAATACTGATACCTCTGAGTTTGAGGTCACTGATTCCCCAACTAGAGCCTGAATGACTCTAAAAATAAGATAGAAAGTCAGCTCTTTCAGCTCTTCTGAGCTCTCCTTGAGCTAGGAGTCATCACCCTGTGAAGGAAGTTCTGGGTCAATATTTATAAAATGCTTAGAACAGCACCTGGCATTTAGTAGCTCTTGCTCTATTAATGTTTGTGAAATAAATTAAAAATAAATAAATGATGACTTGCCGAGAGCCATGATGTTGAATCTAAGGCTCTTCCCCTAGCCCTCCATGGAAGATATTATGAGCTCCTCACTTAACTACTCAAGGCCCTTGAGGAGAGAACTGCTCTATGATCTAGCAGGCTAGAGTGCAGCTGAGGGGGAATAAGGCAGAAGACCTCTTTTATTTGGGGCGCAGGCCAAACATGAATAATCTCCCATACCTTGGCATTTTCTATTCCTTATATCAATGAATCAAATAAAGACAAAAAAAAATTAGGTTAATATACTAAAATACAAATTAGTATAGGATACTTGCCATTACATAACATGATGATAATAATTGTTATTCTAGTTACCATATGATTCTTATATTGATAATTATAAAAATAAGGTTTATGAAAATTAAAATTTCAAATAAAATTTCAGTTTATGCAATTATACATTACGATCAACAATGTTACCAGTGAAAATAAATGATCAATAGTTAATATAGCTCAGTCAAAATTAAGCTAGATAAAATAATGAAGTGATTCTTTTGTGGTTAACTTATCACTGAAGATCAAACTGTGCCTTTCTATGGAATAAAAAGAGCCAACACAGTTCCATGCAGACCAAGGTTTTCATTATACAGCCAGACTTGCTAGCTTGAGGGAATTCGGGCTCAGAGGCTCATTTTGAGTCTTCTCTGAAACCTTCTGGGGGAAAAGAGAGATTGCTTTTATTATATTTTGCTCTTCATTAGATGGACAATGTGTCTAAAGACATTAGCAATGGGTTGTTGTTTCCCTCTGACTGAAAACACTACTCACTCCTGTGTGGTATTTGAGGGGCGGGCTGGGCAGTGAGGGCAACACGAGTCATTACAGTGTCCCCTGCTCTGCAGCGGCCTCCTTGAAACCCTGAGTGAATAACCATTCGAGTCCCTCTCCCTGTACTCCGAAGTTGCTATAATAGGTTTCTATAGCACTTCAAGTGTGTTGGGGAAAAGTTTAGAAACTTTTGAAATCTCTGTAGTCCAGAAGACAGAGAAGGAACCATAGTGTCCATTACCTTTGTTGTTAGGATCCAGAAAGTTTAATGTGAGCAGATTGAAAATGGAAATAAGAAACAAAACAGGGGAGGGAAGAACAGAAGGGAGTATGGTGATGGGTCAGGGTGAGATGGTGGTGGGGGAACTGTGGGGACTACACCTGAGGGGAGAATTCAGTTACTGTACAAAATGAACAGCAATGCAAGGAAATAAAATAAAATAAAAATGGAAATGTGAGAACTAAAACAGAGCTGCCTGGAAATGAACAAGTAAAGAAAAGGCTTTAAAATAGAGCCTGGAGTTGTGTCGGGAGAGCAGGTTTTTATTTATAGACCAAATAACAGCTCATAATTTCAGTTGAGCTCCTATTCTTCCTGAAAGTTTTTTTTCCTTTTTTTTTTTTCCGCTGGAGTAACAATGGTTAGAACACTATATATGTTTCAGGTGTACAGACTTATAATTGCACACCTGGAGAGGCTACAGCCTGATCACCACCATAGTTGATTCCTTCACCTGCTGTACCCAACTCCCCCTCCCGGGGGCTCTTCCCCTCTGGTGACCCCCATTCTGTTATGGGAAGCTAAGGGTTTGTTTTTGTTTATTTTTGATTGTTCACTTAATTTGTTCCTGTACCTTTCACATAGGCGTGAAATGAGTTCCTATTTACATCTTTGGACATTGAACAGGAGTAGGAGAACTATACCATTTTTGCCAGCAGATGGCACCATAAGAATCTCCTAGAAGAAAAGGAACTGAAATCACCACTTTAGTACTTTTCCTTTTAGGAAAAGTCTAGTCATCAATGTCGATTCATATTTTTGATGACACTAGCAACAGATGTGTGTTGCTTAAAATGTCTGCAGAAGAATCATCCTTCCGCTCATTTTTCATATACTAGCATTTCTTATTCAGTGAAAGATTATATTCCTGTAAAAGGGGGTGGGAAAAAAAACACCCTGAAGGTTTAAAATAAAAATAACAGCATATTTTTTTTGGTATCACTCTATTTTCTTGAGGAACACGTTCCTTTAATGATCACACTCTAAGTTAATTTTTATTTTATTTTTATCTTACTATGTTTTACTTTTAAACAATCTTATTTTTTATTTTTTTTAAGATTTATTTATGCATACAGAACTGGGGTACAGGCCAGAGGCCCAGGGGCAGTGAGAGGATTCACCAGAGACAGAGTGAGGAGCAGAACAGGCAGATCAATGAAGAACACTGCTGAGGGGAGCAGC